TATTTAGTTCTCGGCGGACACAACATCTTTGTTTGTATGTGGTGCTGAGGATTGAACCCAGGCCGCACGCACGCCAGGCGAACGTGCTACCGCTTGAGCCACATCCCCAGCCCTAAAAAATAAATATTTAAAAAAATTTTTTTTTAGTTGTTGATGGACCTTCATTTTTATTTATTTATATGTGGTGCTGAGAATCAAATCCAGTGCCTCACACATGATAGGCAAGTGCTCTACCACTGAGCCACAACCTCAACCCTATTTTTTTTTTTTGAAACAGAGTCTGGCTGAGTTACTTAGTTACTAAGTTGCTGAGGCTGGCCTGGCATTGGCAATTCTCTTGCCTCAGCCTCCTGAATCACGGGGATTACAAGCTTGTACCGTTGTGCCCAGCTACACAGCAACTTATTAAAAGGAACATATTAGAAGCGCTTATTAGTGTGGGCTCTGGAGCTTGCCTGCCTGCCTTTGAATTTGGCCCTGCCACATGCTAGCTCTATAATCTTAGGCAAGTCATTTACCCTCTCTGTGCCTCAGTTTCCTTATCTACAAAATAGGGATAAAAATAGTACCTACCTCATTGGATTGTTGAAGGTTGGTGCCATGAGTTATTGTGTATACAGCAGTATAAAAGACCAATGTGAAGGAACTTGGCAAGTAGCAGGTGCAAAAGAAGTGTTCTCTGTTGTTCTAACTCTCTGACATTTGCACAGCTGGGTGGAGTGAGCGGCTGCTTTGTAAGGCTCTGGGTCATAATGTCAGCACCTTCGAATTCTGCAAACTCTCGCCCAGCCCAGCACTTCCCCAGACCCCCTTGTGTGCGCCTGCGCTCCGCTCTTGGGAGGATCCCTGGGCTGTGCCCCTCTGCCTCACCTTCTCCTGGCAGGCCCCCGTGCTTTGAGGTTGTTGCAGTTTGTTTTGTTTTAACCTTTTCACAACATTTTCTCCTTGTCCTGCCAGGGCAGTCCACGCTCCTCTCTTCTCCATCACARTCCATCCCGTGTAACCTGGAAAGTTAACGAAGTCTCTTTTGTAGATGGGGAGACCACGACTCAGGGAGGAGGAGCTGCTTGTCAGAGGCTGTGAACACACAGCGGCCCGGGATATCTGCTGCCAAGGGGCAGTGGTGGCCCAGAGGACCAGGACTACCCAGAGTCTCTGCCTAGCTCCTGTGGCCCGGGCCTGGCTCTCCTGCATTGGATGCCCATGCGAGAGCTGGGGTCTGGGCTCTGGAGGCTCACCAGGGGAGATTCCCAGTTCCATGGGGCAGGGCTGAATCCAGCTCCTCCTTCTTTTTAGGGATTGAACCCGGAGGCATTCTGTCAATGAGCTAAATTCCCTGTCCTTTTTATTTTTTCTTCTTGAGACAGGCTCTCACTGAATTGTTCAGTGGGCCTTGAGCTTGCATCTTCCTGTCTCAGCCCCCAGAGTGGCTGGGATTACAAGCATGAACCAGTACACCTGGCCTTTTTACCTTTTTTTCCAGAATATGAGTTGGGTTTTCAAAATTGTATGTCTTGAACCACTAAATTTTGTCTTAACATTAAGTCCTCATTGTAGAAAAGCAGTGACAGCCAGGTGTGCTGGTAGGCACCTGTAATTCTAGTGACCCAGGAGATTGAGCAGGAGGATTGTAAATTGGAGGCCAACTTCAGTAATTTAGCAAGACCCTGTCTTAAAATGAAATAAAAAGGGCTGGGGGTGTATTTCAGAGGTGGACCCCTGATGGGTTCAATCCTCAGTACCCAAAAGAAAAAAGAGGGAGAGAGAACAAAAGCAATGACATATAATCATTCTGTGATTGTCATTTTCTTCTTTTAGTGTAAACATGAAGGAAAGGGAGCAAATGATTGATTACCTGAGACCAATAAAAGCATTGTTAATTATTAACATCAAAACCCTGGTGCCGTGGCTTGCAGCACTAGGAACTCAATACATGTTTGTGGAAGTAGCAAATGGGCAGGCATAATCGTATTGACTGTTTATTTAGCTCATGCTCTGCACCAGGACAGTGCCAGGGGCTGTTCATCTTTATTTCATTTAATCCTCCTAGCAACTCTATGAGGGAAGTACAGATGAGGCATCAGAGGCTCAGAGAGGTTAAGTATCTTGCTCAGTGTCACAGAGGGAGTTGGTCTAGAGTTGAGAGTCAAAACAGCTTATTAACTTCCAGGCCCAGACCATCGGGTCACTGGCCTCCGGAGCTCTGAGACCCTCTGTCTGAGGTTGTGGGCCGTGCCATAGCTCACAGGGCCACCCTGCTACCTGTATGCCCACCTTGCAGCGGCCCTGACTCCACCTTCCTCTCTCCCTGACAGTGTGCGCTCCTCAGACCACCGGCAGGTGAACAGTCTGATGCAGACAGAGGAGTGCCCTGCCGGGCCGGAGGTCATGCAGCAGCAGCAGCAGATGGAGGTCTGTGAGGGCCGGGCCTTTGACAATGAGCAGGACGGTGTCACCTACAGCTACTCCTTCTTCCACTTCTGCCTGGTGCTGGCCTCCCTGCACATCATGATGACGCTCACCAACTGGTACAGGTGTGCACAGCCTGGCGGGCAGGTGCCCAGGGAGTGGTGCCATGTGCCCCATCTCCTCTGTTCCCTCCCTGGGTGTCCCTGATGCCTGCTCAAGGCCGGGGGCATCTGGTGTYTGCCCTGCCCTGTCCCAGTTTCCCTGCTGGTGCCTCAGTGTGCCCAGCTCCTGCGGCTTCCCCAAGTGATGGGGTGGGTGTCACAGGAGGGGGGGCATCACAGGAGCGGGGGCTGGGCCTGTGCAGGGCCATGGGGTTTCAAATCAGGGCGACCATGGAGTCAGATTTGGGATTCGTGGCTGGAGGCCAGGGTTAGGGTAGGACCAGAAGCACAGGTGCAGGTTAGGAGTAAGAGTGGTGGCATCTAGAGCTGGGGAAGGGCCTCTGGAGTTGCACCTGGTCTCCGTCACTCAGGACTGTTGCAATGGCGGCACACACCATCCTGGGTATAGGGGTCTGGAGCCCACAGCTGGGATTGAAGCTGCAGAATCAAGGAGCTAAGATYAGGGTGATAAGGTCAGGGGTCAGGTGGGCTGAGTCAGGACTAAGGTCAGTCYCAAGGTCAGGGGCTGGGAATGAGGTCAGAGAGTTGGGATCACACGTCAGACACCAGCAGTCTGGTCAAGGTCTAGGACTGGGGTCAACACCAGAGTCGAGGTTGGTGCAAGGCCAAGAGCCTAGTGCAGGGTCAGGAGGCCAAGTGTCTAAACCGTCAGAGGCCGCGCAAGAGCCAGCGTGAAGCCAGGCRTCACAGCTGGGTCGTCAAGTCAGGGAATGGGACCAAGGGCACAGATGGGGCCAGGCTCACGAGGAATATGGTGTGTTCCAGACCTGGAGAGACGCAGACGATGGTCAGCACGTGGACTGCCGTGTGGGTGAAGATCTGCGCCAGCTGGGCAGGGCTGTTCCTCTACCTGTGGACCCTGGTGGCCCCCCTGCTCCTGCCCAACCGTGACTTCAGCTGAGGCAGCCCCCGGAGCCTCCCCACTTCGTGCCTCAGGGCTCACCGACAGCCACCCTGCCTCCTCCCCACCCACCCTCCTCCAGGCCTGGCCTGAGTGGCTGTCCTCCAGTCCTAGTGCCCTCAGGGTCCAGGAAGCACCGAGCTCACACCTGTGCCCCACCTGGCCCCCACCCTGGGTCACAGAGCCRCCTCTTCCTTCCCTGACCCCAGTGACCCAGGGTCACCCTGGGGACAAAACATCCCCTGGTTCCCAGGCTGCCCAGAGGGGACTTCAGGGGAGAGCAGCTCAGAGCTGTTCAGAGGGCAGTGAGCACGCGCCATCTTGGGTACCTGGCACCGAGGCCGCTGTTCCTGCCGGTTAGCCCCTTCCTGGACCATGTGCCTTATGAGTCTCTAAGACTTTGCCCAATAAACACGCCCGAGTGTGTGCCTTCCTACAGCCTGTGCTCCTCACCCTTGCTGCTGGGTCTGTCACCTCTGCAGTCGTGTGGGGCTGGGACTGGAAAGTCAGGGCTGAGGGACGAGGGGTCTGGGCTCCGGTCATGGAGAACCCAGGGTGCAGGGTGGCCAGGAAGGAGGGCCAGGCCAGGGCCTTGGACAAAGGGAGTGTGGGGGCCAGACAAGGGGAGCCAGGAGGCAGTAGGACCAGCGGGGACCCTTCATGAGGACAGGGAGGCCATGTGGAGAGCCATGTGGGGAAGCCGAGTGGAGCGGGGTGCTAGGGAGAGCCCCGGGCCCAGCTTGCTTTTTCTTCATTGCTGTTTCCCTGTGTGCTGTGGGCAGCTTAGTTGCTCTCTCTGGTTTCCATCAAAGGGCACCAGCAGCTGGTTTGTAAACTGTAAAGCACTGTGCACTCATGTACAGTCTGTGCTTAACAAGTGACAGTCCTGACCCTCTTCTCTCTCTCTTGCCTCCCTCATAAAGGCTGGAGAAACCAACTCCTCACTTTGTAGCTTCCCTGAGAATTGAAGGTGGGCACCTGACCACAGTTGAGTTAATCAGATCTAAGTAGAAATGCTAAGGAGCACTTCCAGGGAGCATCTGCTTTCCTGTTACAAGGCACAACTGGCTCCCACTTTACTTAACACAAAATGATGTCTGGAGCTGCAGCAGCCCTTCTTGAACAACGAGGCTACAAACCTGTGGGTGAGAAATCAACATAGCGAGGATGGCAATTTAGACAAACGGGCTGCAGCCTTGATCCACCTTGGAGCTGCACTAGCTCTGCTGTGCCTGGCCCTACACTTGTCTCCCAAGCAGAACAAGCCCGAGTGTACTTCAGCCCCTGTTAATTGAGTATGAAGTCTTTTGCACCTGAATGTATTTCTAACTGATCTGATTAGTGAGATGACCATGAATTTTGCTGATAAGAAAAACAGCACAGAAGAGAAACATTTCCATCACTCAAAATGATCAGKTAGCGGGGCTGGGGTTGAGGCTCAGTGGGAGCACTTGCCTGGCATGTGTRAGGCACTGGGTTTGGTCCCCAGCACCACACAAAAATAAAGATGTTGTGTTCATCTGTAACTAAAAAATGATCAGGTAGCAATAGCATAGTTTGCCCATATACACACGTGAATGTGTAGATGTTCGTATCATGTACATACAGGATTACTAATGGGCGAAGGTGAGAAGAAAGAGTTTTGAAGAAGTTTCTGGCTTGGTGTGTGGAATGGGAAGCAGAGGTGGGGAACTTGCAAAGTATATTTCCTCTACTTTGGTTTTTCACAAAAGGATGTTTGTGGAGGTGCGGTTGGGGTGGGGTAAGGGGGGCCTGCAGGGCAGGGGGGGCCCTGATGAGGGCGAGGAGAGCCAGGCCGGAAGGAGCTTGAACTTAGGAGGGCGGCGTGTCTTCTCCAGGCCCGGTGGAGTTCTCGGTGATCAAGGAGGAGGGTGAGGCTGTGGGCTCTCTGAGCAGGGGTGGGCACACCCTCCCCGGGGAGTGGGGGAGCCAGCAGGGCCTCAGGGGGCTGGAACAAAGTCCAGCTCTGCCCTGGTGCCTRAGCCCTGTGGATGGCTTAGGGGTCTGTGGTTCTGGTGAGCTGTGACAGTGGCTGTGACCCATGTGATTGGTGTTCAATGACACGGAATTCCGACCCCCCGAATGTGGCCTTGCTGCTCCCTGTGATCCCAGGGCTTTTGCACTATCCTGAGGGGACACGTGTGCCCCTGGGAGGGGGCCGGTGCCTGGTGGAGGCTGAGTTTTCTATCTAGCGGGGCGGGGCGGGGGCATTGGGTAGAAAGTCAACCAAGGCAAGTGAACCATACCCCTTTTCTCGTACACCATCGAGTCRAGCTCAAATAGTAATTTTAGATATAAGGCACGTTTATGATTTTAAAAAGTACAAATAATAGAGGAGCGTGGCAGGCATTTGTCTCGAGTCCTCAAGCAGCAGCGTGGGCTCCGTGGTGGACTATTCTATAATTTAACTGAGTCCCAACTGATGGCATTTGCTCTTTTGTGTTTGTGCCTCCAGCCACTGGGCTGCTGCTGGCAGGTGGCTGGGTGATAGGCAGGCCATGGGCTTCAGACCCTGGACCCCCAGGTTCTCATCTCGGCTTGTCCCCTGGCTGCTGGGTGCTCCCTGTGTCTGTTTCCCCGTCTGCAGAAGGGGACTGTAGCAGCACCCACTGTCATCGGGTCAGTAAGAACGTGTGTAAAGGGCCGGTCCCGTGCTGGGCAGAGTGGGGGACAAAGAAAGCAGGGCTCCTTCCTTTCTCTGGCATTCAGTCCTGGGGGACGGAGACCAAGGGCGAGGCAGTCAGATGAGGTCACCTTAGCCTTCCCTCTACCTGCAGGACCACCTGCCCTTTGCCCCTCTGCAGGTGGCTGTGGGTGACAGGCAGTAGGAAGTGGAGAGAACCAGGATGACAGGATCCAGTGTTCATTGGGCGTTTCCCAGTCCTCCACCTGGAAAAGGAGCTTTCACCCCTAACACAGCCTGYGTGCCCAGGACAGGAAAGGACAGAAGAGGAAGATGGAGACCCTGCTGGCTAGGCTGTGGACCCTCTCTCTGGGTGCACTCTGTGTCTGGCCTTTATTACTTACTGGGTGTAACTATGTATCCACTTGTGCGCTTTGCCCGCAGCTGCTTCCGGTTTCCCTGATGCTCAGAACAGATGGAGAAGGCAGGAAGCAGGTTAGTTGACTGACCCGCCATCTGAATGAGCATTTGTTGATTATGGAGCGGCCACGGGTGGCTGGGGCAAGAGTGGCAGGTCTCTGCAGTGAGTGGACCTCTGCTGTCACAGAGCCAGGGGGCTGAGGAGCTGGAGCCCTGTGGTGACAGGTGAGGCAGCAGAGGAGACAAGGTTGGGCTGTGTCCTTGATTCACAGGCAGAGACCTCAAGATGTGTCTGGTTTGACTGTCGCTGTGTTTAAAACAAGAACCTCAGCCAGCCGGGCGCAGAGGYGCACACCTGTARTCACAGCRGCTGGGGAGGCTGAGGCAGGAGGATCCCGAGTTCAAAGCCAGCCTCAGCAATGGCGAGGCGCTAAGCAACTCAGTGAGACCCTGTCTCTAAATAAAATACAAAATAGGGCTGGGAATGTGGGTCGGTGGTCAAGTGCCCCTGAGTTAAATCCCTGGTACCCCACAGCCCCCCCAAAAAAAGAACCCCAGCAAAATTGCCAAGTAATGGCTGAGGGTGTGGCTCAGGGGTAGAGCGCTGGTTTAGCATGTGTGAAGCCCGCGTTCCATCCCCAGCACTGAGACAGAAAGAGGCAGAGAAGGAAGAAAGGTGGCCAAGCCTGGCTGTGGAGCCCATTCTCCACCCCACTCTCCCCACCCCATTTCCAGCTGCTCTTCCACAGTTCTCCTGGCTTTGTCATTTAAGTGACCTACCTGCTCGCCCATGATGACATTGGCATGTGTAAGTCCTGATGCAGGGTCAAGGGCCAAGGAGTCTGGGATCCAGCTGCTGAGGGGARATGATGTCCTGGCGACACTCAGGGCCCTGATGGGAGAGGATGTCCCCAGGACACTCACCACCTGCTCAGTTAAAACTGAACACTTCAGAGGCCACAGGCTTGAACCCCTCACCTTCTCTGTTCAGTTCCCTAAGGCGTCCCAGGTTGGTGACCTCCTGACTTGTGAAGGTGGAAGGTTCTCGGGTGGGGCAGTGCCCAGCAGTGGTCAGATTCTGAATTTGGAGATAGGCGGGCCTGGGCTCCCTTCCTGGCTTCTCCGTGGACCTTGCTTCTCTGAGCCTCAGCCTTCTYGTCTGTGACAGGGTTGGCAAGAGTCTCACCTTGCAGGGAGCTGCAGGGTTTGGGCACATGAGTAGGGCTTGGAATAAACCTTCTTCCACTTTGACCAGGAGCCATGATTTGCTCACCTGCCTGCCTGCCTGCCGGGGTGCAAGGATTTAACCAGGTCTCCAGTTTAGAGGGAACACAGTCCACAAGCYGTCCTCTCTGCTGTCCTCACTAGTGGCAAGTTCAGGGGTTTTTAGGACCATCCTCAGGCTCCTAGTTCACTGGAGGAATTCATGGAACTCATCAAAATTGATCATACTCACAGGTAAGGTTTATGACAGGGCGAGGATGAAGATTAAAATCAGCCAAGGGAAGCCATGCATAGAGCCTGGGCAGGTACCAAACACAGGGCTTCCCTCTCCTGTGCCCGAGGTCAGGACGTGTTACCTTCCCAGTGTCCAGGTGCCAGCATACGCATGGGGTATTTTCAACCRTGGAGGTTTCCAGAAGTCTTGGCGTTCAGTTTAAACTGGGTCTTCATCATGCAGACAGGGTTGCTGATCACCCACAGGGTTGATTTCAATCTCCAGGTCCCCACCCTATATCACATGGTTGGTCTGCCCACGCCACCTCACCCTGGCTAGGCCAAGACCTTCAGGCAAACACGGAACCTGCTAGGATCCCAGGGCGCAGGCCAAGCCTCTTGGAGGCAAGCTTAAATTCTATCCTACATACAAGGTCAGCTTCTGCCCCTTGGAAGATTGTGGGGGATCCCCTGCCTCTGCCCTCACTTACAGTCTCAGGAGTCAGAGYTTGGCTGCCGGGGACCTAAGGTAAAGAGACATCCCACTTAAYGGGGACTTCTTACATGCCAGGCTCAACCCAACCTTTTCCATGCACTATCTCACCCAACTCCCACCTACTCCACGAGGGAGAATTATTCATGGCCCCATTTTATGTATAAGAAAATCAAGGCAAGAGGAGGTCTCACCCAAAGCATGCAGCTCATAAGGGGCCGAGCCTAGGAATTGGACATGGGTCTGGTGACACCTGGGTCTACACTGTCTGCTGTGCTGTCTCTAGACTCAGAGAGCATGGGTTTGGATTCAGATATATTGGGTTCAAATTCTGGGCTCACTTGCTGCCAGGCAGTGTGACCTTGGCTGGGTCAGGGATCCTCTGAGTCTCAGTGTCCTCATGGGTGATAGTCCAGACACCCTCTCCCGGGCCCCTCCCTCCTT